TATGAGGGGAGGGGCTCCTCCAGCCAATCCATAGACTAGTATTTGGATATGAGGCTCTGAATCATAACAAGATGATAAAGGTGGAAGAAATGGAGGCACTGCTGGTTCCAGAGAAGGAAAAGGAAAAGCATGGCCCCTGAGGTGGCAACAGGTGACCTGTGTGTGTGGGTTACTCATAGCTTTAGCTGTTTAGCACCCTTCAGAGCCTGAGAAGGTGAAATATTTATGCACATCTGTCTCCTTAGCTTTAGTAAAGGCAGAAAGGAGAACCTCATACACTTGCAAACCTTTTCCCAGCTGTGATGACTCTGCCACTAACATTAAGACAACAGTCACCAAAGTCCATAGAGGATCATAATATGAAATCACAGGATGGTAAGTTGACAGTGGTAAGAAGACATTTAAAAGACTATAAAGAGAAAATATTTGCTCCTTAGACCAAAACAAAAAGCCAAATGTGATTAGCACATAACTGAATATCAAAAATTCTGTCAAGACTTGTGGCTCTGTTTACTGAATCTCAGAAAAGTGACGGAATTCTCTGGGGATGAATGAACACCTTTAGAGGTGGCTGCCAACAGTCTGTTTTTCCAGTAAGGGAAATGGCAGAAATGTGATGAGGGTGCTGACAGCATTTTCTGTCCATAGTCCAGAATGCTAAAGTCAAGCCTGGCAATCCCCACCTCCCAGATGGGGCTGCTAGGAACCCGAGCAGGGCAGGTATGAGAGCACAGGAGTGCCTGCCAGTTCTCACATGGACCCAAACCATAGTGCTACAAGTGGCTGGGGGCTTCAGAAGTGCTTGGTATTTTCTAGTAAAGACCATGCTATTTGATAAGCAGGTATCATTTCCTCTCAAAGAAAATAAGAGCTTTTTTTTTTTTTTAAACCATGAGTAATAATAGGGTCCACGTTCCCTGTGTCCCTGATACCAAAGGGAGCTGGGCAGACCTGGGCTGGCATCCCAGCCCTGCTCTTCCATATCTGAATGCCCCAGGTAAGCTGGGTGTCCTTTTTGAAAAGCCTCTGCTTCCTCCACTATAGGTTGAGAGGACAGAGTTGTAGAAGCTGCTGCTTGGGATAACAAAGGGTAGTATCATTAAGACAGGTCAAAAATGCAAGTTCTCAGTTTACAAACAGGAAAGTTCATCATTGGCTTTCTTAAATAGTAAGATAACATAATATACTTAACAAATTGTCCTTCATAATTTCATAGCTATCCCACTGTTGGTGTTGACACCATCACTGGAGAACCCGAGAGGCCTGTTCTAGTGCAGCACGCACATCCTGTTCACTTGTTCTTTCCAGACCTGCCACAGCGGGCACCCACCAGAGTGCGGGGACAGGCACTTCCACACAAGCACCTCAGCAGCTGGATGTGGAGTGGGGACTCTGTCCAGATGAATTCATAAGATGAAAGATGTGCATGTACTTTTATTTAAGACAATTCATTTTACTTTTGTAAATCTGAGTCAGTAACTTAAGGATTTCTTAGCAAAGGAAGGAAATAAGTCTACAAATGGAACCTCAAACAATTCACCAGGCTGACAGTCCATTCCCCCTGCACAAAACCTTAGCGATTTGCTATGCCCCAAGGGTAAGAGACACCTTAGAAACTAAACTTCATATTTACTTTGGAGCAGAAAGCACTTCCTTTTATCAGCCAGGAGACTTAGTAGAAGAATGAAGGGCAATAATGGGAAAGAACACGGAACAGTGCACCCCACTACTCCACTAGAAGTCCTTTTGCACCAATGCCTCAGATAAACAGACCAGAGGTGTGAGCTGAGGAAGATGTCACTGTAAAGATGTAATGACAGAAAGGGGGTCGACAAGTATGAGATGCCCCCAAATGCACTTGGGAAATGGATAATGTTTTTCTGGTATAGAAGACCCAATGTCATGAGTAACATTACTATAGCAGAAGGTAGGGAAGCAATTTATTATAAATATATCTGTAATGCAGCTTTTGGAAAAATGATAAATAGAGCTGTTAGTCTAGGCAGAAAAAAATCAAGGAAAATACAGAGAAAAAACTTGTGTCTAGTACACAATTCTGTGACCTTGTGACAAGGGGATAAAGACCCTGAGGCAGAGAGAATTCTCCAGGGGTTGGTAAACAGTGCCTGATCTTGCTCACAACCAGCTCAGGAGAGAGACACAGGAGACAAGGCTGTGAGTGGTGCAGGCTGACTGACCCGGAGTATAATCTAGTTCACAAGCTCCCAACACCCTGACCATCATATATGGGCTGTTCCTACTCAATTTGATGAAGACTAGGCCTCATTTACTGCCAAGTTTCAAAAGATCAATGTGATCATTTCCTGGGGGCTTTAACTGTGGAATAATTACAACACAGCAAATGAAGAAGCACAGTGCCTAGTGAGCATGGAACTCCACTTAAATGCCCATCAGACCCCATGATGGTCTACACAATTAATGCAACTGCAATTAAAATCTCGACAGAAATTTTTTATAGACAGAGATGAAATTCATGGAAAGGCAAAAGAACTAAAGCAACTAAAACAAAATTTAATATCAAGTATAGTAGTCAAGAGAGTTAATGGTATTAGCAACATATATATCAAAGGAACTGAATAGAGAAGACTGCAGTAGGCCCACACAAACACAGATAACTGGTTTGACAAATACTTAAAAGCTATTCATGGAGAATAGTCTATGCAAAAAGTACATATGCAAAAAACCAAAAAAACGATTTAACATCTTATATTTTTATACAAAAACCCAAAACCATAGTTCTAAATGTAACACATAAAATGGTAAATGTTTCAGAAGAAAACAAGACTCTTCAGGACCAGGGGTTAATTTAATATGATCCATAAAAAAAAAAAATTGAGCTAGGAGTGGCGGTGCATGCTTATAATCCTAGCTACTCAGGAGGCTGAGGCAGGAGGGTCACAAGTTTAAGACCACCCTGAGCAATGTAGCAAGACTCAAAGTTTAAAAGGGCTGGGGATGTACCTCGGTGGTAAAGCACACGCCTAGCATGTGTGAGGCCCTGGGTTCAAGCCCCAGTACTGTCAAAAGACAAACTGGACTTAATAAGAATTAAAAACTTTTGCTGTGTGAGAGATACAGTTAAGGGGATGAAAAAGATAGGCTATAAACTGGGAGTAAATATTGCAAATCACATTTGTATTAGAACATATGAAGGGGTTCAAAGCTCCACAGTAAATAATTGAAAAGTGGGTGCCTGAGCAAGTCGGGCATCATGGTATATGCCTGTAACCTCAGCACTATAGGAAGCTGAGGCAGGGGGATTAGAAGTTCAAGCCCAGGGCTGGGGATTTAGCTCAGTGATTTTGCTGCCGGTTGCGCAAGCGTAAGGACCTCAGTTGGATTCCTGGTACCAAAAAAAAAAAAAAAATTTGAGAAGTTCAAGCCCAGCCTGGCCAATTTAGCAAGGGCCTGTCTCAGAAAAGGAGGTGAAGGTCTGGGAAGACAGCTCAATGCCAAGGCCTTGGGTTCAATCCCCAGAAGCACCATCAAAAAAAAAAAAAAAAAAAGCCTAAAGACTTGAGACATGCCACTAAAAAGGACATGACAGAAAATGAGCACATGACATCATCATTAGTAATTAAGAAAAATGAGTCACCATGAATACCACTACATGTCCATCAGAATAGCTAAAATAAAAAAATACTGATAACTTCAAGTACTGGCAAGGTCTCAGAGCAACTGGAGCTCTTACTCATTGCTGACTAGAATGCAAGATGCTACCTATAGCCACTCTGAAAAACTAGCAGTTTCTTAAACATATATGATCCAGAAACTCCACTCCTAGGTATTCACCTTAGAGAATGAAAACTTACATATAAATGTTTATAGCAGCTATATTCATAATCACCAAAAGGTGGAAACAATCCAAATGGTCCTACAACAGATGAATGAATAAACTGCGGACTTCTGTACGATGGAATACTGCCCAGCAATAAAGCACCTATGATCCTCACCGAACACATCAGCAGTTACACACTGATGGCTTTGCTTGCAAGGGAGGATCCCAGAATGACATTCCAGGCTGAAAACTCTTCACCCCAAATCTCCCTTGGCCACCTGTAGTGGAAAATTCCAAGAGACCAAAGGCTTTCATATATATTCTTCAATTCCCAGGGCTTCCATAAAATGTGGAAGGTAGTCTCTTCCCTCAAACACAGCAATCCCATATCTTTAGACTGAAGATGTATGTAAAGTTTCTTTTGAAAAAACTTATAAAAATCTACAATGGTGTTCATGAAGGACACTGCTCTTCAGAAGCTCCCCCCCCCCCCCCCCCCGCCCCCATGGATGGTTATCCTCTAGCAGTTACCCTAAAGGACATAATCTGCTTGAACAGTTTCTCCAAGCTCAGCTTAGTGACATTGGCCTGACTCCCATGCTTGGTCTGACCTTTCTGGAACTCAGTGTTTTATGGTACACATTCTTCCAAAAAATCTGGCATTCATGCCCCTGAGCTCAGTGTTTTTGCCTATATAAATGTCTAGGGGCCTGGTCTTCTAGTCTCAGCAGTCTTTCCCTCTGTTGGGTCCTTCACTGAGAGAAGTCCACTCTAAATGAGTGTGGCTAATGCCAATATACTCTGTGTGCGTGCGTGCATGTGTGTTGGGGATTAGACCCAGCAGGGCCTTCCCACTGTACTATATCTCTAACCCTATTATTTTTTGAGACAGTCTCCCTAAGTTGCCCAGGCAGGGTTTGAATTTACCATCCTCCTGCCCCAGCCTCCAAGAGTGAGTGCTGGGATTACAGGTGTGTGCTAGCACTCCCAGCCAATGAACATTTGAGTGCTCACCTTACCTAACCTCTCAGCAACATCTGATGCTACTGATTTCTCCTCTCAGTACATCTTCCTCAGCTTTCTGGAACCTCACTGTCCTGCCTTTCCACCACTGACTCTTTTGCTTGCTATACAGATCCATGCCACTATTTTTCCTTTCCCATCCTTGTTTCTATCCAACCTGATATGATTATTCACTCACAGTTTCAGTTACCACCACCATGCTGTCTTTCCATATTTCTATCTTCAGCCAACTTCTCTTCCATGCTGCAAGTATACACAACATCTAAATCTTTGTTCACATGACTTAATAGACACCTCTACATCTTAACCCAGCATGTTCAGAGCCCAACATGATTTCTTTCCTTCCAACCAACTTTCCCCATATTCCCAGCCTCTATAAACAGCACTACCAGGCATTTAGTTCAAGCCCAGAGTAATTCCAGACTTCCTTCCTCAATCCATCACCTGGTCCTGTTGATTTTCCTTCTAAATACATCAGATTATTCCATTTCTTGTCATCAGGTGTACCTGTACCCACCTCCAAACCATTTTCCATACAGAAGCCAAAGGGATCTTTTTTAAACTGTAGTTTAATATAATCTATTTGCCTAAAATCTGTCAATAGCGTCCTATTGCTCATAGCATAAAGACCAAAACCCCTAAAACTTTGCTTATAAGTACTGTTTCTCATCTGTTCCCAACACAGTATTGCTCTCTGCCACAGCAATTTCCACCTCTAGTTTCTCAAATGAGTCATGTTCTCTCCTGCTATCCAGCCTTTGCACCCAATGCTCCTACAACCTTTTTGCTTATTACGCCCATTCATTTTTCAGGTCTTAGCTCATACATGCAGCTCCATTGGGAAGCCATCCCAGACTGTGCCAGATTGTCCCCCACTATACGTGTTCTCAATGGCATTATGTCTCTTCACAGGAAAGTGTCTCTTATGGAAAAAGCTGGTGTGTGAGAACCAGCCACAAAGGCAGAAGGTGCTGAGAGACTGAAGAAAGGGGAACAAATCCAGGACTGCACAAAGTATAATTTGGTAGGGACTTTTGGAGGGAAGTTTGTTTTGGGTGGCAGCAAAACAAGAGGATCCCCACTCCCTAAAGAAGGAGTTTATGTATTCAGCTAGACAAGGGTGGCCTGCAGTCAACTGGAGTATATCTGGCTTTCTCAAAAACAAAAAATACTATACAAAAACAACTACCGAAAAGTATGACAACTGTTGGTTAAGAAATAGCCCAGGTGTCAGTGGCTGGTACAAAATGCTAGGCTATCTTAACTCTGCCAAGTCACCTGGTGGGTAGAAATAGCAGTTATGATCAATATAGCTATAGTCATTTCCAGTTGGACCCATACAATGTTGGTCATCACCCATAGGATTAATCAACGTCTGGTTCCCTTCCTAGACTGTAAGGCCCAAGAGGGCAAGAATGGCAGTCTGTTCTGTGTGATCTGTCATCTAACACACTGGAGCTATTCAGTGTCCATGGTGGCTTCCCTGTAGCATGTTCAGGTGGCTTGAAGAATTGCTGCTCCATAGCTATGTGCTCCAAAACACTGCTGTGATAAAAGATGGGGCTTAAATTTCCTCATCTATTACCTCAGAGAAGAAGGCAGTTATTTCCACCAAGTAAAAAAGGTAGTGTGTTTTTGTTTTGTTTTGGTTTGGTTTGGTTTTTTTGGCGGTACCAGGGATCGAATTTAGGACCTTGTGCTTGTGAGGCAGGTGCTGTGCCACTGAGCTAAATCCCTGGCTCAAAAGGTAGTGTTTTTAAAGGGAATCAAAGAAGCAGCAAGATATATCATGTACAGGTACAAATTCCCTATGGTGAATGTTATCATTATGTATATCTAAAATGTACCAATAAATATTTTGCTTCAAAAAAAAGGAATCAAAACCACCATGCAAGGTAAACATTTAGAACTGATTGAGGACATCAAGGCAACCACAACAATGCAACTAAAGATACAAAAGAAGACTTCCAGGCCTGGGGATGTAGCTCAGCGGTACAATGCCTGCCTGGCAAGTGCAAGGCCAATTTCAATTCCCAGTACCAAAAAAAAGACTTGCAGAACTGTTGCAGAAAGTGGCAAGAACATGGCCGGGGATTTAGCTCAGTGGTTTTGCCGCCTGCTGCACAAGCGCAAGGACCCGAGTTCAATCCCCAGTGCAAAAAAAAAAAAAAAGAACATGGCTGGGGATTTAGCTCAGTGCTTCCACCACCTGCTTCCACAAGCATAAGGTCCCGAGTTCAATCCCCAGTACCAAAAAAACAAAAAACGAAACAAAAATAACTACATGCATATTGGGGCTGGGGATTTAGCTCAGTGGTTCCAGCACCTGCCTCGCAAACTCAAGGTCCCGAGTTCGATCCCCGGTACCAAAAAAAAAAGTGGCAAGAACAACGAAATAAGTGTGTCTGAAGCAAGGAGTTTGAGGGGGCTTAATGGCAATGTATAATAAATTTTAAGTTAAAAAAGGGATTCAGTTCACAATAACATTAAAATTATAATGTACCCAGGAAGAAATCTTTTTTTTTTTTTTTTTTAGACAGAGTCTTGCTATGTAGCTCAAGCCAGCCTTGAACTCACTATGTAGCCCAGGCTGGCCTTGAACTCGAAGCAATCCTCCTGCCTTAGCCTCTGGAGTGCTGGGATTACAGGTGTGTGTCACAATGCCCGGGAGAAATCTAATTCTAAAAATAACAAGGATAGATATATGAAGAAATTATAAGACTAAATTTAAAGATATAAAAATAAAATAGGAGACAACTTGTTTGTGATAGGAAGACAGTATTGTAAATATGTCAACTCTTCTCCCAGTTACTCTGTAAATACAAGTTATTCCAATCAAGGTCAGACATAGTTTTCTGTAGAAGCTAACACACATTCTAAAATCCAGAGCAAATGGCAAAGAATTGTGGAAAACAATTATGAAGAATAAAGGGTATGTGTTTATATGTGTGATGGAGGTAGGGAGGTACTTACCACACCAGATTCATGATTCTAGGCTACTCATCTTATGGAAGTGGGTGAGTGACAAGCCTCATTTCAAATTAATAGGGAAAGGACAGCTGACATCCCAAAGCAGCCCACAGAAACTAGAATTTCTCCTCCCCAAGGTGCGCCACAAAGTAAAATTCCCTGCCTTTCTGTCTTAGAGCTGGCTATAAAGAAATTCTCTCATCTACTTTGTGTGATAGATCTTAAGAAAGAAAGGAATGCTGCACAGTGAGACCATGAAGAATGCTGGACAGGGCTTGCTAGCTTTCCTCACTCGGTCTATTAGCGTTAGATCACATCCTTTTTGTTCAGTTACATTTCTACACAGTTGCCCATGCTTCAGTTATGCGTATATATCTCCATAAAACATCGAAAGGATAGCGTTTGGAGAGCTTCCAGGTCAATGCCCAGATAGGACACACAAGCTCTGCACTCCTTCCCCTATATGTCACTTTCTGCCTCTCTTCATCTGTATCCTTTGTAATATCCTTTAAAATAAACCAGTAAACATGTTTCTTTTAGTACTGTGAGCCACTCAAGACAATTAGTGGAACCCAAGGAGGGTGTATGGAATCCCAATTTACTGCCAGTGGGTCAGAAGCACAAGTAAAACAATGTAAGGTTTGTGCCTATCATTTGTGGCACTGAGCTCCCAACCTGCAGGATTTGATGCCATCTCCCAGTAGGCAGCATCAGAACTGAACTGAACTAGATGCTGTCGGGCCAGTGTCTGCACTGCTGCAGAGCTGACTGCTTGCTTGGAGCACACAGCAAACCTCTACATACCTGGTGTCAGAAGTGATCTGCATTGTGACATTGTAGTAGTGTGGGAAATGGTAGAATTCAGCTATCTAGTTCACAAGAAGTTTGTTAACTAAGAGAATTAAGTCATTTCTGGGAAATTCCACAAGTCTGTTTGTTAAAAGAATGCCAGAAAACTTTGAGACCTTGTAAAAGTCTCACAGGAGAAAAACAGGTTTTCCTAGTTTTCTTGTTTACCATTTTCTGGGATCAGAGGACCACGACCCAATGACTCTACGGGTGGTAAGAGAGATACGACTCACTATGCATATCTGTGATGTTTATGGTGGGCCGGTGGGCTTGATTTTTGGCTAAAGTCATCCTGCTGTCTTGATACTATCTGATAAGAAGAGGGCTTCGGTGTGCTCTTTGATGTACGGGATTGGTGAATGGAAACAGGGGACTTGTGAATTCTCCTGTAGCTTTTGTGAGTCACTTAAAGTCACTGGTTATCATCAGAGGTGAAAATCAGAAAGACAATAGCCAGAATAACTAAGCTGCTTTCCTACATGTATAAAAGCCTTGCTTCTTCCCTTTGTGATTGTCGAATAGTGCCAGAGGAATTAAACTGCTGTTCGTCCCCCAGGCTGTCTCTTTTTCTTTCTTTAAAAGTCGGTGCTTTCCGGGGTCTCCGGTTTCCCTCAAGAGAAACCAACGACAGTAGTAGGAGAAACTGAATTGGAGTCTGTTTTTTCTACTCAGTGATTTAATCAATAAGTGGCTGGAACTATTAAAAATGATAAAGGAAAGCAAGAACCCTATCCTATACCATGATCTAAAATAAATTCAGGCAGACTAAAGATTTATGTGAAACATTTTTAGAAGAAAATACAGACTTATTTTTATCATCTTAGATAATTATTTTTCAAAGACTAAAACACACAAAGCATTAGGGAAAGACTGATAAACATGACATTTAAAATTTTTCATAGGAGAGACTGCAGACATAACTCAGTGGTAAAGACTACAGGCTGTTCCTTAGCACCACATAAAACCCCAAATGACACAACATATTAAAAAGAAGGGCGGGCCGGGAATTTAGCTCAGTGGTTTCACCCCCTGCTGCGCAAATGCAAGGACCTGAGTTCGATTCCTGGTACCAAAAAAAAAAAAATGAAAAAAGGGCTGGAGGTTTAGCTCAGTGGCGCCAGTGCCTGCCTGGCAAGTGCAAGGTGCTGAGTTTGATTCCCAGTTCCACCAAAGAAAAAAAGGAATACATAAATAAAAGAGAGAAAGAAATTTAATGTCACTATATTGTGTACCTAAAATGTACCATTAAATTAATTTAAAAAACAATGAAAAAAGTTGAGTCTGATAAGATACCTACAAATCTATAAAATGACAAATATTAGTGTACAGAATATATGATTCCTTATATACCAAAAGAAAAACCAATAAATGAGCAGAGAATATGTACAAACAATTCACAATATAGGTACAAATTTATTTCTGAA